CAAGAACTGAAAAATGCCGTTATTATTCTTCAAGAGATGAAACAGACAGTGCAAAGATTTCAGAATTTTCAAGGTAATCACGCTTATCCTCTCCAAGCCAATTCTCATTTGTTCAGTCCTTTTAAGGAGTTGATAATAATTGCAGTTTATTAGACAAAATATTTCCTAATAGGTAATGGCTTCTATCTTTTTGCTTACTGGTACAAACGTTGTACGCATTGTTCTTCTGTATTACAGAGGATGCAGATCATAGGTTTGGACAAGTTGAAGATGAAGTGCAAAGTCTTAAAGGTAATAGTGAGACCACACGTACGCACAATTTGAGAGCATCACATTAATTCATTAAGAAAACAAAGTATAGAAGCTGAAGACCCCTACGGAGTGTGCTCGTTGATGTGGCCTGTGGCCATCTTAGTTAACTTGAACGAAGGAAACTGTTTGCATGAGAATAGCGTTCAGTTCCCAGTGGACTGCTTTGCTCCTTCAACATGACTACCATGACGTCCAAGCGGACAAACACTATATTGACATGGAAAAAAACCGTCACCTGAAGTGACATAATTACTTCATATGTTTTTTCTGTGTCTTCTCAAGAGTCATAATATAAAAACTGTCCAAAATAAATCTGGTAGATGAACATAACAAGATTTGAAACATCTTATTCCCGTGGAGAAGTTATGAATAGCAAACGACAAGTAAAGGGAAAACTTGGTCACGTGGTATAAATTCACGTTTTCCGTAAACGTTCTTCCAAATCTCCCTAATACCCTATTTTTTGCGTAGCTAAGTTTTGAAATGTAAACGTACGTTTCTGAATTCTTAGTAAGACGTTTTTTCTTTTCGTCTGTCTCACTCTCGTGCACAGAAATGTTTCATGACTTGACTGCAAAGGAATCTGCTATGTCAAATGCTTCTCTCCAAGACCCATTGATGCCGTGTGGTAGGTTTGATGTAATGAAAACTGATTAAGAGAACAATTTTATTAATGAACAGACCTAATGATATCTGGAATACCAAATGAGACGGTCCGGATAAGGTATCAAAAACCGTTTTAACAAAGAGGTTAAACTGTTTGTCTAAAAACGTTTTTCACGAAAGTTTTGATGATTTTATGAAGCAGTTTACGCTTCCCTATGAGTGCTGCAGTGCGATGATCGTGATGATGGTTTGCGTGTGCCCAACTGAGGGTTTAACTTGCAGGTGTGACTCAAGGTCTTGTAACTCAAACCCTAACTGTAATCCTAATACCTTCATTCGCTCCCTTACCTGTACCTGCAAATTAGATTTAGCCCCTCTGGGTGCACAAATAAGTCAATCCTCGTTGATGCAGATTCACTTTTCTTTTGCCTCACCCTACGATTACTTGAGAAATGCAAATTACTTCACAGGTAGCTCTTGCAGAAAATATGACGGTCAGCATTGCTGCGTAACCTTTCATAAAAGAAGCATAAACAGGATGGTATAAATCGGCTCAGGGAACTCATAAGACAGAAGAAACGCGCAACTGAAGTAACTTCTTCTTCTTCTTCTTCTTCTTCTTCTTCTTGAAGAAGAAGAAGAAGAAGAAGAAGAAGAAGAAGAAGAAGAAGAAGAAGAAGAAGAAGAAGAAGAAGAAGAAGAAGAAGAAGAAGAAGAAGAAGAAGTTTCTTCTTCTTCTTCTTCTTCTTCTATTACTATAAAGATGATTCTTCAAAGCGGTCAGGGTTTCCATAAAAAAAGTTTTCAAAGTCCTATTAAAAAAAGTTATTTGTCGGTTTCAAAAATGTTGATCCAACCAAACCTTGCGAGAGGCAACTCAACCATGTCTTGCGGCAGGCTTTTCCATTCTTTTATAGTTCTTGGAAAGTATGACAATTTGTGGTAGTTTGTAGTGGAATGAAAACCAAATCAACAAAGAGAGTACTCAAACTTTTTCTTGGAATTACTAACATAAACTGCTGGCTCACTGAATATATACCGAATTAACAGGCGAATACTAAGAAATGTTAGAGCCTGCAAGCAACCTTTTTCCATTGTCAAAGCGAACAGAGCGAGCCGCGAAAAAACACACGAGCGAGGCGGGAAGGGAAGGGATAGTCCCCGTTTCTTTTTCTGCCCCTCGTTTTCGCGTCTTCTTTTCTGTACCGCTCGCGTGAGACTTGTCTCGATATTTCCCGGATTGAGAGCTTGATGGCGGGATAGAAATGCTACAATTTTCATCATTGTGGGAGGTGATTAGTTGCATTATCATAATTCAATTCACGAGGTTTTCACGTCTATTTCTATATAAACAAAAATCAATTGCCTCCTCCTATAAAGGCATAGGCTTTTGCTAAAGGCACTGGCTATAAACTAAATAGGTGTAAATTTAGACGCTTCAGTTACTATTTTTACCCTGAGCAGCAAGTCTGCATGAGATCTACCGTCACGCAGCGTACACGTGATAGTGTTGTGCCCCTTTCGCGTTTGGTACGTAGACAATTCGACTTAAAATAAGAAACGAAAAAAAATAAGCGAGGTTTTAGACGTAACTGTCGTGCACGCAGTTTGCACGTGAAGAGGGTGGATTTGCCCCCTTTACGTGGAAGAGTTCACCTTGTTTACGAGCTTAATTTGTTCAAAACGATTTGAAGGAATCGCCTCCTTTTCGAACATCTTCAATGGAATAATGCGTTATTAATAGCCGAACATGAATTAGCTCCAATACAATTATCAAAATACCGAAATACTAAATATGTCATTCCACTCTCTAACAATTTCCATTCTCCTCATACATCGGATACCACCCGACTACGGAATTTTGGGCGACATCAAGTTATCACGTTAAGTGAGGAAAATTTAACCTGTCGTCGACTAGCATGCTTAGTTTAATCCAGGGTGTGAATATTTGGTATATACTTTTAGCTAACTCATTGCCGTTTTTCGCCCTATGTCATTTCAGAGAAACTAATAGAACTTATCAGACGAGACTACAAAGGCGCTGTGCTGTGTCCCTTTCCATGGTGTGAAGATGAACTACAGCTGAAGCTATCGAACATCTTTACAAGATTGCAAATAGTTAATAGAAAAAAAGAACGCTCAGTACTAACGGGTGACTCTGTCAATATGACAGACGTGTTCAAGCCACACCAAGAGTGTCTCAATCCAAGAGTGGTGCTGATCGAGGGGAATCCTGGGATGGGAAAAACCACGTATTGTCAAAAGTTGGCCTATGATTGGTCCGTGGGGGAAATTCCACCTGATGCGTCGTTTCCAGAAGTGAAGATAATGCTTCTGTTGAAGTGCCGTGACATGCACATGAAAACCGCTAACATTGAGGAAGCTATCGATGATCAGCTTTTACCACAAGATGCAGGCAAGAAGGAAAAGGAAGACTTTTTCCACTTTATTCGCTCTAATCAGTCCAGAATCTTGTTGGTTCTTGATGGTTTGGACGAGCTACGTGAAGATCTGGTAAAGGGTTTTCTGCCTTTGATTCAAGGCAAAGTCTTTGCTAATGTGTACCTCATGTTAACTGCTCGACATGAAGCTGGAATGAAAGTAAGGCGTTATTGTGACACGCTTCTTGAACTTGTTGGTTACACAGAAGATGACGTTGAAAGTTACATTAAGAGGTATTTCAGAAATCATGAGGATCAGAGCCTTGCTGACAAAATGATAAAACACTTAAATAGTGACAGAAATCTCAAGGAGTTAACGGTAAATCCACTAAATACAGCGTTGTTGTGTCTTCTCTGTGAAGAAACAAAAGGAGTGTTTCCTTCCGGAAGAACTAAGATGTACGATGACCTTGTGTCTTGTGCTCTCAGGAGGTATTTTGCTAAAAGAGGTGTTTCTTTGGGTGATGAAGATCCGGTGGAGCGATGTGCAAATGAGCTGAATCAGTTGGGCAGGATGGCATTTGAGGCTTTACTTAAGAATCAGTTGTATTTTAGTCAAGATGAGGTGAGATCCCAGTCCACAGAGGATTTCCTACGGTTGCCTTTTATTTCGCGAGAGTCAAGTGTAAGCAGGATCAGACCAACACCGTGCTACTCGTTTAGTCACAAAACGTTTCAAGAATACTTTGCGGCGTTTTACCTGGCCCACCAGGTTTTGTCTGGTGACAAAGGGAAGGAGAGACTGTTGGATGAACTTAGTCCTATTGACAACTGGCAGTTGTGGGAATTTCTCATCTCAATAGTGTTAAGCAAGAGTGTTAAGGCGACAGAAACTGTTGTCTCTCGGCTTTGTGCTTTCTTCTGTCAAAACAGACATCAAAGTTTATTGGACTTGAATGGCAGTGATGTTGATTTGGAGAACGAAATTTTTGAAGACAACCCGTATGACTGGGGTAGATATTTGACAAAAATGAGTAAAGATGAAGAAACACGATGCAGTGTCCTCCGAAAAGCACTTGATTTTATTGTTGAGTGTGAAGATGGTGATAACGAACTAAAGGATTACCAAATGAAAATGGTTCATGTATTGGCGCGCTGCTTTCCACTGAAAAAATTCGAACTTACTCTCAGGAGTGATGATACTAGTAACCGCTGCTCCGTGTATTCTGAGTATCTAAGGTTCAATTACAGTTTGACAGATTTAATTGTACATAGTGTGTTTGACCCATTACTGTTAAAAATAATTGAACATGTTTTTCATTCTAAGCAAAATTTGGTACATTTTACTTTAGAAAACGCGATGTGGATTTTTGATGCCTTTCTTTCTTTATGTGTTGCTCCGCCTGATTTAGAAAAGGCTTTCTTAGATCAGGCACAACGTCTTCAGTGGAACCAGTTGGTCGGTACTAGAGCACTGCTGTCAGAGGTCCTTCAGTCAGGTCGTGTTTTAACACATCTGAATCTAGACAGAGTCTGGATCTGCGATGGAGGAACTCAAGTACTTGCCAAGTTCCTTCAAACAAATCGAACTTTAACACATCTTAATCTACCTCACGCCATGATCTATGACATTGGAGCCATTGCACTCGGGAACGCTCTTCTGTCGAACTGCACATTGACACATTTGAGTCTTCCGGAAAATTGGATCAGTTTCGCTGGAGCTTTCGCTTTAGCGGCAAGTCTGGTGTCCAATTCTGTGTTAATGTACTTGGATCTGAGTCAAAATCTTGGCGGCGATTCAGTTGCCCTGGCGCTGTCGAAAGCTGTGGAATCTAACTGCGCCCTAAAGTACTTGAATCTGAGTCAATGCTTTGACTGCACTGAAAAAAATACACCTTTTCCGGTATCCGCTAACGTGCACGTTGAAATGATCGGGCCTAAAGGAGGATCAGCCCTTGCAAAAGCTCTTCAATTCAACTGTACATTGACGTATTTAGATCTTCAGTATAATAACATCGGCGACTCAGGAGCAGCAGCACTTGGCGAGGCTCTACAAACAAACACAACTTTGAAGGAATTATACCTCAAAGATAATAAGATAGGGGAAACAGGATCAGAAGCTCTCGGAAAGGGACTGCAATCAAATCATACTTTGACCTATTTGAATCTAAGTTATAACCTCCGTATTGGTGATTCAGGCGCGGTAGCCATTGCAAAGGCACTACAGAGAAGCGGCAGTCAGTTAACCCGGTTAGATCTGAGTGTTAACAAAATCGGTTCCTCAGGTGCCACCTCCATCTCAGAAGCTCTTTGCGTTAACAGTTCTCTTACACATTTAGGATTGGGGAGTAATGAGATCCATTCTTCTGGCGCCGTCACAATTGCAAACTCACTTCAATCAAATCGTACGTTAATTCATCTGAATTTGATAGGCAACGGCATTGGTGATTCAGGGGCCAAAGGATTTGCACACGCTCTTAAGAATCACAACAACACGTTGGGTTTTTTAGACCTTGGTTTCAACGATTCAATAAGTTCAGTAGGAATAGAAAGCCTTGAACAAGTTGATCAGTCGAAATGTATCGTAAAGTACAAAGGCCGGAAGTAAGTTATCAGGGTCATTAGGTTTATTTTGATTGTTTTGTTTTTTTAACTGCAAGATGTAAAATCTTGGATGTAAAATCGTGATGATTCAGGGACCAGAAAATTAGCAAACATGAACCAGTCAAAATCATTACAACACTTCTATCTGTTTAGACTTAAATGAGGACCGTTCCACTAAGAGGGGCCCAGTAGGGATTGCAAGATTTGAACAGGTTAATCAGTGAATTCGTATCTTGAAGTACGTTGTACCGTGGTTTTCCTCTGAAGCAATTTTTTGCTCGAGAAACAAGTTTATTTTTCTTTATTGTAAGACGTAAAACGCTCTTTCGCCAATGTATGTGTGTAACTATTTAAAACGTACTAGCCTGCTTTTGCTTTTTCCTCATTCTCGGTTATTTCTCTGTAATGCGGACTCATTGAAAGCCTAGAACAGGCTAAGAACTGGCAAAAATAAAGAAGACTTTGGGAACTTTAAATGAATTATATTGTTTGTCATTCCAAATCCGTTTTATCTAATTACAGAGCAAAGCTCTGTTCGAGCCTGTGTACTGACCCCCTTCCCTCAGAAAAAATCGGAGAAGAGGCCCTTCTCCGATTCGACTGACTTAGAATAGACTGTATTTATTTATGAGGAGGCCATAATCCGGAGCGAGTAACCCTCTTGGTCTTCTTGGGACTATGAAACATTGTGCAACAGAGTTTTCACCTGACAGGCGAGTTTATTTTTAAATCATAGATCTTCCCGCGAATTTCAACTATCAAGTTCGTAAATAAGCGTTCAGTAGTAACTGTGGATAAGAAAATGATATCTCTGATGGACAAAAAAAAAATGAAATGTTGAGAACATGGGTTGTCAATTGTGGGTTGTTTGCTGGTTTTCAGTGTCACGCCGTTGAAAATAAATCAAAATCAAAACCGTTCAATGGATAAAGTCCAGAATCGAGGAAATGGCATATGCAAAGACCCTCGCCATGATTCAGGCCTGTGCAATTTTTCATATACGAGACTATCCGGAGAAATGTTTTACCCAAATTCATAGACGTGTGGAGACGCCATGCTAGTGCCCATCCGAAAGTCAATAGAAACATCTGTTAAATAGTTTTGCAACTAACGCGTGAATTTCTCTCTCGATACTTTTCCTAATACATAAACTGTTTAGATTGAGAAATTCCCCGAAATAAGTAGCTTTTTAATCTACATGACAGCCTTCTCGGCCGTCATGTAAATGCTGCGTTACACAAAACCCTAGAAATTCAAGCGTATTCTATCACAAAACCAAGAACCCTTTCGAGGCGACAATTTGTAAGAATATTAGTTTTCAGAAAGAAAAATGTGAGTAGGATCGATAGTTTTGTAGTTTGAATTTTAGTGACGTCATGTGAAAACCAACAATTGGAACCAATCAGAACTTAAATGTATATCTGTTTCTGACCTGTCAGGTCTATGAATTGACACCAACCCCGAAGTGCATGAGTTCGTGCCTTGTCGTGGTCGATTTGGCTGTGCGAAAAGAGAGTTACGGGAGTCGTGGATGTTTTGTCTTGGATTTATTCTTCGCAGAACCGATACAAAACTTGGACGGTCGTTTTTGCGGCCGTCTACTTTTTTGCGATGAATTTCGACGGCAATGTATTTTACAGAAAAAAAAGGGAAGCGGTTTGGACCATAGCTTCAAAATACAATAGTGCAACTAACCCTCAAAAACGTGTTTTCCCCTTATTGTTGTGATTACTTGTGCAAAAAAAAACGTCGTATCCTTTTTCAGTTCTTTTTTTTTATATGTTGTAAAGTTCCAAAATTTGGCGGTTCTTGCTGGCCATTACTGCTCGAACAATGCCAAGAATAGCCCGTTCCAGGCGTTCAGATGGTGGGGAGCTAGCTCAGTTTCTCCCTCGCGCCCCACTATCTGATCGCCTAGAAGAGGCTATGCGAAGAATGGGTCCCTGTTTTGTTGTGACGTCATCGAAGGAGATCGATTTTATTCTAGCAACATCTCTTTTGCCTCCTCCACAGGCGCTTTGTTTTTCACGCAGGGGCGAGCGCGAAACGCGAGTAACACGTGGGTGACTGGCGACGAAGCGCAAGGGACCATGGGAAGGAGAAAGAAGAGAAGCGCCAGTTTTCTCATACTCGCCTTCGTTTGCTCGCAAATTTTATTGAGAGAGATAGACGTCGACGTCTGGGTATGAGGCAGATCTCTTGAAGTGTGAGCTGTGTTGTATAAGCAATACAGTCGATCCCCGAAGAGGTATCGGGCTCATAAAATTCCATTCTGGGGTGATACGCATTTTGAATGTATCAAGGGAAGACTGAAGAAAATGGTTATCGTAGAACACTTTCCCCTTTCTCGCTGCCAGTCAAATGCTTATGAGTACGGTACGCGGCAAATGGCGTCCTTCGATGATGTCACAAGTTTGTACCCAGCTCAAACAAATGCTCCGTAGTGTATGGACCAGGAGCTCCTAATGGGACATAATTAATAATTATTCCTCGAGCCCGAATGGGCTCTGAGTCGGCTATTGACTCAGAGGGCCATGAGGGCTAACATATAGCCTAGTAGTAGCTTAACCAATAAGAACGCAGCATTGATAATAGACCACTCACTGGATTTTACTAATATTGATTGAAGAGACCTAACTTAAAACGGCCGCGGAAACGTCGGGATTTTATCAAACACAATAATCTTTTCAGTAGTAAAAACTGAAAGTAGTAAAATAGCCAAATTTGGAAGTGAAACGTCGTTAGCGAGCGAAGATATAGCTCCGCAAAGTGCATGCATTTCGTCATTACTTATGAAGCCAGAATTACATAGTGAAATTCGGAGCTATCGATGTGAATCAACGTTTTTTGGTTATTGAATCAAATTTCTGTTGATATTATTTTAAGAACATCCTTTCGTATTTATAAAACTATTCATAACATTTAACTTTACAGCGCTTTATTTATTTTGATGTCAATAATTTTATATCAATACTAAAACCGTAAACTGGTGAATTTCGTCGCGGCGTGAAGTCTTGATTACAATCTTAGCGCTATTACAAAGAAAGACGTTACTTGAAACAAAAAATCGCACATGCATTATAACGGCTTAAAGTGGCACTATTCGACTGTGCAGGCAATGAAAAATGTTGCAGTGTTGACGGAGGACGGGCATTTGCCCTCTTTTTCCATCCCCACCCCGGGGGATTTGACACCTCAAGATTCCCCATCCCCGGGAATTTGCCATCCAAGGCAAAACCAGCTGGAATTGACTGATGCATTATATAATTAAGCACTGAAAATAGTGATTAGGGTTACCTATTCTCGCCAGCAAATCCTCTGTGGCGTAGTGTTGTAAGTGATGTAACGCAGACACTACGCTCCGGGTTCGATTCTCACTCTCGCTCTTCTGAATTTTTATCCCTAAAAAATTGAAGAGACTTACACTTTCGTGAACATTCCCTGAACAGAAATGTCAAGTAAATAGAAATTTCACCTATGTGTAGAGTGGAAGCAATAAATTAGAATACTACGTTGTGTAAAACTGCCGATTGGATCTTATAGAGTACACCCGAAAGGGGGTACTCCGTTACAAGAGGCTAATGGGGATGTGCCGCTGGATGGGGAACTGGAGTGACTATAATGGGGTCGCATTTTCAATAGAGTTACTACTGATGGGGTCGCAAATTTTCGGATTTTGGGGGTAAGTAGGGATTCAAAATGGGAAGATTCTCGGTTAAAAAAATCAGAAATTGTTTTTTATTTTAAAATTTAGCAATAAGCTCGCATTGCCCGCATGACATTCCGTTTTTGAAACCACATTGATAAGGTAGATGCATAAATAGAAAGTGACTAAGTCGGGATCGCGAAAATTACATTTTCCTTAAAGTGACTAAGATGGGGTCAATACACCGTATTCACAAATGGCGGACACGCGGGAAAAAACTGGTGCCTAGTCATGAAAGCGAGGCGTTGGAGGATAAACAAAAATTTCAAATGAAGACTTTCAGTGAACTTCCAGAGTGTTTAGCACGGATTCCACCTAAAATAACTTTGTACGGACTTCTTTTTAAATACAGTTACGTGGGATGTCTTCTGCTTTTAATGTTTAGTAATGA